CGATGGATTGTGTGGCCCCTCGCGCAGCATCAGCCCCCTCGCGCGGGTCCCGCCCTGGGGAGCCGTGGCAATGCGTGCTGGTGGTGGTGGTGGTAGTTGGTGGTGGTGGTGGTGTTGTTATGCACATGCAACTGAACACGTCAAAAAACACGAAGCGAGCAAAAAGAAGGCAGCGAGACACAGAGACTGAGATCTCTGCCGCGTGGGCGGAGGAAATCATGTCTCGTAAAGGATGATGCTGGACTGTGGACATGTAGCCGAGCGCACAAGAGGAGTGAGAGCTCGGCTCTGAGCCTTGATGTGATCCAGCCAAGCATCGGTGACAAGGTGTGCGTGTGTGGGTGTGCGTGTGTGTGTACGTGTGTGTATGTGTGTGTGTGTATGTATGTGTGTGTGCGTGTGTGTGTGTGCGTGTGAGTGTGTGTGTACGTGGTAGTGTAGCGGTTAGTGTAGCGGTTAGCGCACTGCACTACGAACTTGGCGACCCGGGTTCGATTCCCGCTCACGACAAACACCAGTGACGATTATCTGAACCGGTCCTGGGCCTCAAATGAGTACCTGGTGCGGTGTGTAAACATCGCCGCTAGGGAGACAAAGGCGGTCGGGCGTGGTGCTGGCCACTCACCCCCTCGTGTACCGTTCCGGCCTTCATAGGTGCTCGCTAACAGCACTTTCCCCTACAGTCTGTTAAGGCTATACGGGGGATCTTTATTTTTGTACGTGTGCGTGCGTGTGTGCGTGCGCAGGCGCGATCACGGAGTGCCAAGCAAGGGTCAATCGCAGGCCGTCGCGAGCTACGAGCCGGTCGCAGCATCCCTTGAATCAATCAAGACAAGGCTCATGTCACATGCAGACACTGCGTGCGCATCACCCACTGCTTGCCTATGATGGTCATAATAACAAGAGTTAAAATCGTTTTTGTTTGTTGAGTTTTTGAGCCAGTTGGCCAGGATTGGGCAAGGACACTTTTTACCCAGGCAATTGGAGAGTACACATTGTATATTTCTTGACTCGTTTCCATAACCACAATTACATGTTTAAAAATGCACAATTTTAAAATATTTAAATATACAATTCAAAATAATTAATAAAATGACATTGTGCGAAAAATGTAAATGTTATCAATGATTCCCATAATATCTGGGACAGATTAAAGTCTTGTCAAACACGATTTGTCATCAATCCACTGCTGGATGAAAACCTTCCCCTGCAGTGTCGGTAATTCGCAGTTTTTTTTTACAATATTTCAAAGGGCTGGTCAGTGAGGACTGGTGGAGGGATGTGTGTAATGTAAGCCATGGCAGGGAACTGAACTCAAGCTTCCAGGTGTGTAGTGCGTTGCGCGAACCAAAGTGCCACCGCTACGACCCCTTAATTATCCTTTATTTAACAAAGTAAATCAAAATCCAGGCTCATGTGAATAATTTCCTCTTTTGCAGGGGAAACGTGTATTCTGTTGATTGCATTATATTGGATCCAATGACTTGATAAGTACCCGATTACAAGTGCTCCATTGTATTTACAAGGAATATTTAAGGGCATCGTCGTAGCCACAATCGAGTCCACGTGGCCACAATGAGGCGCTTGTGTTTCGCTCGTTTCAACTGCGAGAAGCAGTGTCTCTGCAACGTAGCATGTGATGTGCACAAATTGGGAAAACATGTGCTGTTTTGGCACGAGAGATCTTTGCCCGATTCACATTTGTCCCCGCAGACACTGGCGTTGAGGACCACGGCGTCTTAGCTTTGACCAGAATTAGCAATTAATCACAATTTGAAGTACCGTATTCTCCAGAGTATAAGATGCTCCAAAAAGTAAAAAAAAAACACCCGACCCCAAAAACATGTGCCAGGTGTCAATAAAGTTGTCCAAAAGACAAAAACACACACAAACACCGACTGGATTATAAGACGCAACCACCAACTTGCACGTGGAAGAGAGTACGTCGTAATCCGGAGAATACGGCATCATTACAATTGACCTTCTCCACGTGTTTATAATGCCTCTGGGCTGTAAACAACTAAACACGTAACCTTTGTTTAACAGTGCCACCCCGGCCTTGGAAATCCTAGCGTAATTGCAGTTCCGTTTGGGGTTTTGTGTTTACTGAAGCCGCCGGTTTTTTTTTTGCGAGCGCAATTAAAGCCTCTCCTTGAGTGACATTTGAGAACAAGAGACCTTATTAATGGGATATAATTAACCAATCACGCCTATTGCCGTAAAAAAATTGTAAGAGGGTCTTCCAAATATATATATATATTTTTACAGCCACACAACCAATGTAGAATTTGACAAAATGAACCCTTCCCAGGAGCGTAACGATCGTGGGGGCATGTCGTGCCTTGCCCCCCCCCCCACCCCCTGGTCGCCAAAGCTATGAGATTTTAATTTTCAACAAGAGTGTAAAAGAACAACAACAACAAAATACGAATTTAAATGTATTTTCATGAAAATGCTTTCATTTACGTTTTACGTTTTATTTCAATTTCATTAGAGCAGTGACGTTCGGCTTCCGCAAATTGCACAAATCAAATATTGGGGCCCCACCTGACCGATTGCCGCACCCCCTGAGCTAACAATGTCGTTACGACACTGCCCACAATGCACGCGATATCATCAGCTATCAGAAGCCAAGCCCACTGGAGCCTGCAGAGTGCTTGTGTATATAAACGACCATTGTGCGTAATAGGTGGTATAGGCTGTGGTGCTATGTTGAGCGCAGTGCAGCAAACTCCACTGATTGTACCGTATGTCTATGCTACCACATGCATGCCCACCGGTCTCATCAACTCACACTTACCAGCTGGGTGAAGTATGGTTAAACAGCCCATAGCCTGCACGGCATGAGGAGGCCCTTAGCCAACAATGGATTGACAAAAGGGCTGCACGCGCTTATGCAACCAAATAGGCCTGCCAATTTACTCAGTGGTTAATAAGACCCAACTTCTCTTGTCGCTAGCAGCTGGGAAAACTTTGGAACGTAAGACCAGCAAATACTTGTACAGACCTTGTGTCAATCCACTGTGCTTGTGAACCTGGCCACCTGAGTTTGACTCCTGAACACAGCTAACATCGGCGCCCGGTGATATCTGAAGCCTTTAACCAACCCGCATTAAGCCACGTGGTGAAGTATGGTCAAACAATCCCCCGTGACCGACACGGCGTGCCGAGGCCTTGTCAAGCAGTGGGTTGACAGAAGAGCTGTCCGCTATGAACTGGTGGGACCATTGCTAACGATAATTATTTTCAAGTATATTTAATGCGCTAGACATGTTGAAAGGTACGAATAACAATGGAAAAAGTCAACATGACCAGTGTGCGTATAACAATAGCAAAAGTCAACATGACCCTAATCTATCAGCTGAAGTTCTTGCTTAATCCCAATCGTTTAAATGAAGCCTCACAACAGACGCGTTCCAATTGATGGCGCAATGACTCCTGTGAATGCACATCAGTGAGGAGTAGTGACGCAGTGGGTTAACACACCGCACTATGAACCCAGCGACCTAAGTTCAATTGCCTGACCATCTCTATCGTCAGTGGCGAGTGATATCTGAACTGGTCTTCGCCAATGTGCAATGACCAGCGTGGTAAAGTCAAATGAACCCCAATGGCCGCTATAGCGTGGGAAAGACTTAATCCTGCAATGGACTGAAAAATGGCTTAATTATTGCATCATCTGTTTATGAATAATGCACATCAAAACAAGGCTAACTGATGTAGCAAACGAATACAGCTGCCAATCATCGAAACACAACGAAGTAAAAGGTATAATGAGCCATCGATTGATCGATTAACAATGAATATTTATGGTCATGATACATGCAATGGAATAGTGCGTCAAAATCAATGTTTTTTAGATGCGTATGTGTTGGATGCAATGGGCTTCGTGTAGACACGAGTGTCCACTACATTTCCCACCAAAAAGCTCAGCCCCTGAATATTGACAGTTCATTGGATAAACCAGGGGGACGGGATCAATAGCTACAACCCAACTGGGAACAGATTGCAAATTCCATAATTGGACACTTACGAGAGTTGGACGTACATTTCAGACACTTCAGAGATGTGGGTAATCGTGAGTTTGACCATCAATTTGCTTCTTCTACCGGGGTATTAGTATGTCGACCAATCAGGACTGTGGTTCGGATAGAAAAAAACTTATCCACCTCTCTTGATGAGGGAGAAACGCTCATAAAGCACCACGGGTTTCAGACGTAATCGTGCGAAATACTATTTCACCTTCGCTAGGATGGTAATGGTCCATTGAGTTTCATAATAGATGTGTTCCGTAAATAAGCCATATTTTCTTAAACGCGAGTTAATTACCTTGAAAATAACACCCAGTATGTATTATTTGCATGATTAATGCAATTTGACTGTGAGTTTGCCTAATTCGTGGAACTGCTTGATTGTAAAACAAAAAAACCCAACAGAAAAACAGCCATGCTATTTAGAATCTCAATACGCTTTGAGCCCATTGATTGCAAGACGTTCAAAAGCACAGGACTTATTTTAGATGATGGCAAATTGCTAAACAACTCTGAAAACACAAGACATCCATCTACATGGCCGCATTCCTTAAAAGGCCTCTGAGATTGTAAACATCTCGCAAGCCGACAGGGCGGATGGACTCCTCCCACGTGTTTCCCCGTGCAGGACGTGGCCGCTCGTAGTCCTGCGCGTGCTCTTAAAAGTATCGCAAGAATTCATCAACAAAAGTTCTTTGAAGTCCAACAAACGATTTGATGGCGACAAATTTACTGCGTTGAGCACGAATGCCGCGCTAATCTGCGCCTTGCTGATAATTATTCGTCAAAAATTTGGTCAACAAAAAAGTTTGCTTCATCGTTGGGAGGGTTGGACACCACAATCTGGCCAGAATTTCCAGAGAATGAATATACAACAAACCAAAAAACAAATATATTAAACTGTTACCACTTCCCACAATAATAGCTGTGTCATTAATTGATTAAAATCTTGAAGACAAAACTTCTTACCCAACGTCATGTTCTTTAAAGCGGCGTCCTCAGGCTCGCTCATGTCGTCTGTCGGAGAATGGGGGTGCAGGGCGGCGGGGGGGGGGGAGCTCCGAGATTAATCTCGAACTTGTGCCGAGGTGTGGACAGACAGACGAGAGAAGCGCTACTCTTAGCTGTAGAGAGACCAGCGCACGCGCGCGCGTGTGTGTGTGTGAGTGTGTGTGACGCGAGTAGTAGCAGCAAACGCTCCCTTTCCCCCCTCCCCAACTCTCTCTCCGAGGCAGGAAGTGAGCCGACCACTCCAAGACGTTTACAAACTCCCCCCCCCCTCCCAAAAAAATGACGAAAAATGGAGAGAGAGAGAGAGAGAAGAGAGAGAAAAAATGGGTCTCAAACTTCCTGTACAGATTAAACGCAGCTGCCCGCTTTGTCTTGGAACCGCTGTTGGTCACGGGTCGCTTTCAAAGCGCACCGTTCGGTGTCGCGGCACACGTAGTAGCGTCGGGTGTATTGTGGTTCACTTAAAAACAAGAACCTCTCTCCGTTACTCAGGGCCTCCTCCTCCTCCTCTATGACCGACCGCGTCACCTGATTTTAGTTTCCCGCCCCCCCCCCACCTCCGGGCAGACCTATAATAATGTCAGTGACACTTATGCCCAGAGCCGCCTGTGTGTTTAACAAGTGAAGGGGTGGGGAACGCAAGGGATATGAGGGTGGTGGTTAGCGATGGGATGACTGCAGAGGGGAGAGAGAGAGGGGAGAGGGTACGAAGGGGCAGAGGAAGAGGGATTGTGATGGGTGGGATGGTGGTGGGTCGGTGGGTGGGGGTACTTTGGGTAGAAGGAAGGGTGCAGTAGAATCGGGCATTGGCCACTACCACCACCACTATAAACACGAGGAAGCCATCTGGGGGAGGCAGGAGGGGGTTTGAGAGCTGGCTCCACACTGCGGGAGGAAAAGGGTGGTCTTGCATTCCAAGCTCTGTGCTCCCTGAACTCCACGTACAGATGGCTCTCATTATTTACGGATCCTTGCAGCAGCCCCCGAGTAGAGCCGCACAAACACCTCTCTCGTTGCGCGCTCTCTCCCCCAGGTCTGCTCCTCTGTCTGTCCCAGCTGAGCGCTGCATCATAACCGACAGGGCGGTTATAGTCTCAGGAGCCATTGTTTATGCTGTGCAAAAAAAAAAACTTCCCGGCAGATGTTTTATGTTGATTTACAGGAAAGCTTTACGCGACGTTGCCGCTTCGCATGATTTTTTTTGTTCCTCTGCTCTTAAGATGATGTATTACTTCCACCAAACATTGTACGTTTGGAAATGTTCTTGTGAAACCTATCGTCGTCATCAATCCTCATCAGCCATCGGCAATACTCCGCTGTTGGATGAAAGCCTCCTCGAGTCGCAAACCAATATATCACGGTCACGTGATGCAACGATCCACTTAGCACCATTTAACAAGTAACGATATCAGTTATAACACGTGCATTCAACAAAGTTCGTACTGATTACAATTCTGTCTGTGAGTTGATGAGAAAAATGTGAGCGTTGTATAGAATTCACTGCATTTCGCATACAGTAAGCTGTCTTCTTTTGCACAACTCAAAGCTGTAAATGATGAGGGAGGCATCAAAAGGGCTTCGTGGTGCCGGTTGTAAAACCACAACTTTGAAGCAGGACGCGAACATGCGTCAAAAGAACTGTGCAAAAGGCCATCGGAATTTCATGAAGAAGCACATTGTGGTCATATTGTCTTAGATAATCATCAAATAAAATAGTTTTTTTTTATTTTTACGGTTCTGATGGGGTTTTTTTTTTGCATAATAAATTATGCACAACGGCTGTGTGCTCTTTACGCGCTTGTGTGTCTTGTTAGAAACTTTTGCACGGCTGTTGAACAGTAATGTACAGACACAGTTTGTTTTGATTATGCATGCACAGTGTGGAGTCAGCCCCAAGCACGGACTCAGTATTTCCTACAATAACTCATATTTATTTTTCTCCGTGATCATATTTCTTTGCCTTTTCCCCTCTCTCTACTTCAAAGTCAGGAGCTGTGCCAAGAAAACTTGTGAGCCATTACGTCATCCATACATAATCGAGACCCCGCTTGGATTTACTTTCTTGCAAACACTGTGCCATCTGTGACATCATCATTGTCATCGTCAGCATCATTAGCAATGATCAATCCACCGCTGGATGAAAGCCTCCCTAAGCTATCGCCATAACTCACGATCTTGCAATGTAATACTTGTGACATGACCTCATCCAATTAAGTGCAGCCCGGCTTTCATGAACAAAGACTTTGGATCAAAACTCAAGAACTGAAGCCAGGACAATTTTCATCGTACATTTTAGTGTTTTTTTATTATTATTATAAACCAACAATGCATAACAAGCGTACACGTGCGAATTAATATTATTTTGAGCAAAACTCACCGCAAGTAGTTTCTCTTTAGAAGGTTTATTTTATTTTTAAATGGCACGGCAAATTTTTTTTCGGATGACGTCGGGGTTAGATTCGGGTCAGCGCATTGCTGTGCCACTCAGAAGAAAAAAAATAATTTTTGAGAGGCGCGATTCCGTTCACCGGAGAGGCGTTCGAATTGCAGAAGGTGCGTAAATGCGGCCGCGACCAAAAGTCAAGACTCCCCTTTGTGTTCCCCTTTCCTCTGCATTTCACAGTAAAACTTTTCCCTGCCTCCCTCTCCGCCTCCCTCCCTCCCTCGCTCCCTCCTCATTTCCCCGCACGACCACACCCCTCCTTCTCAAAATACACACGCACGCACCAGCTCGCACACACATGCAAAACACGAAGCATCACCACCCCCCCACACTTTTAGGGCAAGTGCTGTGAGCGACTTGCACCCACGAAGGCCGGCATGGCCCACGAGGAGCTGCGTGGCCAACACCATGTCTCCCTCGTGACTATGTTCACACATCGAAACCAGGTACTCGCTTAAGGCTGAGTCGACACAGGGGAAGCCCAGGACCAGTTTAGATGTTGGCAGTGTGCGGGAATTGAACTCGGGTCGCTGGGTTCGCGAACCACTTCACTAGCGCCACGCACGTGCACTCACTCAGTGCACACACACAAAGACAACGATCCCCCGTATAGCCTTAACATACTGTCGGGAAAAGTGCTGTCAGCGAGCACCTATGAAGGCCACAACGGTACATGAGGGGGTGGGTGGCTAGCACCACACCCGACCGTCTTTGTCTCACGCTAGTGGCGATGTACTCATTTGAGGCTGAGTCGACCTAGGGGAGGCCCTTGCCCGGTTCAAAGAATCATCACTGATGTTGGCCGTGCGCGGGAATCGAACTTGGGTCGCCGGGTTCGAAGCGCAGCGCGCTAACCGCTACACTACCGCTCCCCATACACAGCGTGCACACACACTCACGTGCACACACACGTGCACACACACTCACGTGCACACGCACACACGCGTGCACACACATACGTGCACACACACGTGCACACACACTCACGTGCACACGCACTCACGCGTGCACACACACACGTGCACACACACTCACGTGCACACGCACACGTACACACACACACGCGTGTACATACACTCATGTGCACACACGCGTGCACACACACACACGTGCACACACACGTGCACACACACACACGTGCACACACACTCACGTGCACACACACGTGCACACACCCTCACGTGCACACGCACTCACGCGTGCACACACACACACGCGTGCACACACACACACACACGTGCACACACACTCACGTGCACACCCACACACGCGTGCACACACACACACGTGCACACACACACACACACGTGCACACACGCGTGCACACACACACACACACGTGCACACACACACGTGCACACACACACGCGTGCACACGCGCACTCACGCAACCCATCGCCTCAGCTTTCTCAACTTCCAATTCGCGTGTCACTTTCCTGCCCGCTCTTTAGTTTTTCTCTTTGCATAATGGTCTTTGCCGCAGGTTTTTATATTGCTGGTCGTTGTTTGTTTGTTGCCTTCTCGACAGACGTTTCGTTATCCCTCGCCACCAACAAACGGCTGGTTCATCTTCTTGGTTCTTTCGGTAAAGTCACGTAGAAGGAAAATAATAAAATAATAAAAATAAAGCGTAATAAAATAATTCTCACGACGTTTCGGCCACAACGCAAGCAGCCGTCTTCAGGTGGAGAACAGGTCTGTCGGTGAATCCCTGCAGTCACGAAAGCTTTAAATCGAAACGGCTGGTTGCTTCTTTCGATCCGCTCCGCACTGAGCAGGCGAGCGGGCTCAAACGTGAAGAAGAAAAAACCCCACTCTGCTCTTGCAATTGGTAACAAACCTTTCTTTGCAAGTCTCCTTCAACGAGAACTTAGGACAGAGTTGGGAGACCTTTAACAGTCGTTTTCATTGCAGATTCAAATCTCTCGCGCGGCTTCAAAACGAGAACAAATCGGACGCTCGATCCATCTCGCCGCGCTGCGGCCACGCGGCTACACGAGGTGCACCGCTTTCTAAATCGCCGCTCCGCTTGAGAAAGTTGCCCCTTTTGTTGACACCCCGCGTGGACATCAGAGCGGACGTTGCAAAACCATCGGAGGGCTCCATCACAACGTACTCAAATTGTAAATGTTGTGGCTTCAACACATCGGTGGGCTAAAGCAGTGAACTAATTGTCTTTTGTCAACGTGACACTTTTTTACTGATTGGCCGTGTCGGGTGGTGGAGGGTTATGACACATTTATAAATAACGCGATCTAAACCCAAAACGTTGATTATGAATAACATTGGTCGCGAAAGCCTACGTGTTAAACTGCGTAAGCAACATCACGAACGATCTAAATAACCGTTCGCGTCAACAAGCGCAAGTTTTGCTGCTGTTGTTGTTGTTGCTGTGGCAAACACACAAACAGCACTTACACCTCGAACTGCCAAGCACGCCAGCTCCTCTGGCGCCTGTAACGTATTAGGACAAGCTGACCGGCATCGTTGTGCGCCGCATTGCTGTGTCTTGCCCAGTAGGGCTTTGCGTGGTTGGCATGGGTCCTGGTGCAAGGGATTAAATAGGGGCCCTCTTTGTCCAATGCCTCTTCATGGCCCAGCACCTGGGCCCCCTGCGGCCTTGTGGGGCCTTCGTGCACCTGCACCAGCTGTGCACTCGATCGCTACGCCACTGGTAGGGGGACTGAGGCAGCTATTAAGTTCTTTCGGTAAAGTCACGTAGGTAAAAAATGAAATTAAAATTTATAAAAAAATAAAAACAATAAAAGCACGACGTTTCGTCACTTGATACCGATTTTTTGCTGTGACAGTTTCACCTGAAGACGAAAGCTTGTGTTGCCTCCAAATCGTCGTGATTTTTTAATTTAATTTATTTATTTATTTTAATTTCATGTTTTACCTACGTGAATTTACCGAAAGAACTAAGAGTATGAATCCTTGCAGTCACGAAAGCTTCAAATCTAGAATCTATTAAGTTGGCCACCGTCGTGTTGGATTCGGAGCGATTCAAATTACACGCAAACCAACTTGTTCATTTTTTAGAAATATTAATGGGTAAAACCATCGAACAAAGACGGTCACCGCATCGCGTGCTTACAGATGCACTTCTGCGGCCGTCTGGAACGCTCTTCCTTCCGATATTAGGAAGCCACTTGAGCTATGCACTTTTAAATCTAGATTGAAAACTCATTTAATTAGAAACGCTTCTCGTGTTTAGTCTGTTTTC